ATATTGCTACATTAAGTATGAATCTGAGTGGGACTGGACTGAATTGTCTTTTCCTGAAGTGTCTCCCTGGGTTTTGGTGTGATGGTTTGTTTGCTGGCTCTGTAAACTGAGGTGGGAAGTGCTGCTGCTTTTCCTTGTCTCTATAAGATTTTATGTAAAATTTCTGTGATTTCTCCCTTATTTAGTAAAATTCATTGGCGAAATCATCTGGGTATGAAATTCTCTTTCTGGGGATTTAAAAGTTAAAGATCCAGGCTCAGCAACCATATCACAGTGGTTACGGTGCTGGCCACGTGCACCATGGCTGGTGGGTTTGAGCCTGGCCAGGGGCCTGCTAAACAATAATGACAACTAGGGTGGCACCTGTGGCTCAAAGGAGTAGGGCACCGGCCCCATATGCCGGAAGTGGCAGGTTCAAACCCAACCCTGGCCAAAAAAACCCCAAACAAACAAAAAAAAACCCTGCAAAAATAAATAAATAAATAAATAATAAAAACAATAATGACAACCGCAACCAAAAAATAGCTAGATGATATGGCAGGTACCTGTAGCCCCAGCTACTTGGGAGGCTGAGGCAAGAGACTCACTTAAGCCCAAGAATTTGAGGTTGCTGTGAGCTGTGATACCACAGCACTGTACTGAGGGTGACATAGTGAGACTCTGCCCCCCCAAATAAATAAAAGATAAAAGTTAAAGATCCAATTTCTCTAATTGCTAGAAGTGCTATTTCCATGCTTCACTTTTACTGCTAGTTTTGGTAAATTATGTTTTTCCAGGAATATGCCCATTTGATCTGAATTTACTTGTGGTGCGAATTTATTCCCAGTAGTTCTTATCTTTTTAGCAAAAGTGTCTGAGCCAAAGTTTTCTTTTTCATTCCCGATGTTAGTAATTCATGCCTTTTGGCTTTTTATTTTCTTTAGTTGGCCCATATTACCAGAGTATCAATTGAATTAGTCCTTATAAAGCGCTGACTGATCTCTGCCGATCCTCTTATTGTATGTCTGTTGGTTGGTTCTTTAATCTCTGCTCTTTGTTATTTGCTTAGTTCCAGTCTCCCTTTTTCAAGTTGCTCTTGTTTTCCTAACTCCCAGGCCAGCAGACTCAGGAGTCAGCTCTCTCTGCTGCACTTTTGAAGGCAAAGTGTCTTTCTTTCCCTCAGGCTGGTTTAAAGATTTTTTTCTTTTCCTTGGGTTTTCAACAATGCAGATGTGTTTTCTTTTGATTTATACTTAGAGTTTATAATGCTTTTTTAATCTGAGGCTTGATGTCTGTCATCAATTCTAAAAAGTGCTGAGCTGTCCCCTTCAGACCAAGCTTCTGTGCTGTCTCTTCTTCCTGTGCCTTGGATCACAGCTAAATGAGACCTTTGTGGCAGACTCCAGGCTTTCCATCCCCTTTACTTATTTCACATATTCCATCTTTCTGATGCTTTATGATTTGATGATTGTTTTCTCTTGATCTATCTAATGTTTCACCATTTATTTCTTAAGCCAGCCTAATTTGCTATTAAACACATTTATTGAATTTTTCATTTCAGTTATTTTATTATATTTTTGACTTCCAGAATTTCTATTCAATTTTATTCCAGAATTATCAATCTTGTCTTTAATTTCTTGAACTTTTTTTAAAGGCTTCTACCTGATCATGTGGTGATATTACATATAGTTTTTGTTTTATTGTGTTAAAATATAAAGAACAGATGCATCACAAGAATGGAGAAGCAAGAATCCAGCACACTCCATTCTAATATGAAGGCAGTAGATGAGCTCATACAAGGGGTGGGATAGGGGAATGAATGATTGGGGAAACAGGAGGAGGGAGGGGAATGGGGGTCACAGTGCATGGCACACCTCTTGTGGGCAGTACACAATTATAAGAGGGACTTTAACAAATGCAATCAGAATGAGGTGTGTGGTGTGGTCACCATTTGCAACCAACACAGTAATGTAATTCTTTGTACCGTCAATGAATCCCAAATGATAAAATAAAATAAAATATACAGAACATAAACGTTACCATTTTAATCATTTTTTTGAGACAGAGCCTCAAGCTGTCACCCAGGGTAGAGTGCTGTCGCATCACAACTCACAGCAACCTCCAATTCCTGGGCTCAAGTGATTCTCCTGCCTCTGTCTCCCAAATAGCTGGGACTACAGGTGCCCGCCACAACACCGGCTATTTTTTTTTTTTTGGTTGCAGCTGTCATTGTTGTTTTGGTGGGCCAGTCTGGATTCGAACCCGCCATCTCAGGGATATGTGGCTGGTGCCTTAGCCTCTTGAGCCACAGGCGCCAAGCCACCATTTTAATCATTTTTTTTCCAGTGACCTCTGAACTCTTTATTGGTATAAGGACATGCTGCTCTACTGCCTCAGTGTCTCAGAACTTTGGTGTTGTTGGTCTCAGACACCACTTTACCGTCCACTATCCTGCGGGTGGTGGTCTTTTGGATGGTTTGCATGGAGTTGCTGCTGTCCAAGGCATCACCAAGGTTGAAGTCCTCCCCGTCTTTCAGCAGGTGGCAGTAGGTGGTGATCTCAGCCTCTAGCTTGACCTTGATGTTCAGCAGTGCCTCATACTCCTAGGCCTGGTGCTGCCCCTCTGCCCGGGTCTGTGCCAGCTCTGACTCCAAATGCAGCAGGACTCCATTGAGTTGTTCCATCTGCATGGTGGGCCTCCACCTCCCTCAGGCTGTCCTCCAACCTCGACTTCTGATTTCTCATGGAGTCCAGTTTGATCTCCAAGGACTGGACTGTACATGTCAGCTCTGTGAGCATTATCTTAGCAGCTCCGACCTCAGCAAACTGTGAGGGGACCACTGAGGTGTTCTCTTCAATCTCCTGGGACCAGGTCTTGGCCAGCTCTTCTTGGTTCTTCCAAGCCAGCTCGTCATACTGTGCCCACATGTCTGCCATGATCTTGCTCAGGTCCTGGGATTGGGGAGCATCTACTTCCACAGTCAACCCAGAGCTGGCAATCTGGATTTTAGGACTTTTACTTCCTTCTCATGGTTCTTCTACATGGAGAGGAGCTCCTCCTTGAGAGCCTCGATCTCTGACTCCAGCTGCAGTGGAGTGATATTGGTGTCATCAATGACCTTGCGGAGCCCATGGATGTCGCTCTCCACAGATTGGCGCATGGCCAGTTCTGTCTCATACTTGACTCTAAAGTCATCAGCAGCAAGACGGGCATTGTCAATCTGCAGAACGATGAGAGCATTGTCCACAGAATAGGCAAAGATCTGTGCCCTCGGCTCGGCACCTATAGCTCAAC